ATCTATCTATCTATCTATCTATCTATCTATCTATCATCTGTCTGTCTATCTATCATCTATCTATCTATCTATCTATCTATCTATCTATCTATCTATCTATCATCTGTCTGTCTATCTATCATCTATCTATCTATCTATCATCTATCTGTCTGTCTATCTATCTATCTATCTATCATCTATCTGTCTATCTACTATCTATCTATCTATCTATCTATCTATCTTCATCATCATCTATTCATCTAACATCTATGTAGAGAGAATATCTTGGGTATTGTATGGATGTATCACTTGTCAATTAAAATGCCTGTATTTCTTATAGGAATAAGTAGAATAGAAGGAGGGACACTAGGGAGGCAGAAACAATTCTGGAATTGAGGTACAGGAGATTCACCCAGGAAGACGTGATGAGACAGACTCATGGTAATCAGCCATGTGTCAGAGAATAGGTTAAAATAGATTATTTAAGTTATGATCTAGTTAGAGAGGAGGCTAGCTATATGACCAAGTTTTATCTATCATCCATTTATACATTATCTATCTACCTATCTATCCATCTATCAATCATCTATTTATCTGCCTATCTGTTATCTATCTACCACTATCTACCCATCTATCCATTTATCATCAATCTATCTCTGTCTATCTACCACATTATCATCTCTCTATTAACCTCTCCATATCTGTCTACCTAGCCCATCACCTGTTTTCCTTATGCCAATTCCTTGTAAATTTAGGTACATTTATGGCAGATATGAAAACCCAAATCATCAATTTTCAGTCACTAAAACACTTAAAAATTCTAACTTTAAGTATAAAAATATTAACCTGTTCATGGATTGAAAAATCTATTAGCTATGCATGGACTATAAACGGACAGCTGCTGATCCTTATACTTAATATTTATACCACAGACCATTTTTAAGATTTTTATCGAGTTTCTCCTTTGACAGTTTTATACATGTAAAAAATGTATTTTGGTTCCTTCTCATCCCCGTTACCTTCCTACATATCCTTTCCCCATTTTTAATTCTGTTGTTGTTTGGCTTTTTATGTTTGTTTGAGATCTACTGAGTTTAACCAGGATCATCTGTGTGGTTGGAGCTGGGGGCTATTAGTTGGAGACTGGTGGGCTCTTCAGTGGGCACCTGAAGATCCCTGAGCCCTAGAAGGATTGTAAGCGTGTTCTACCATGCCCGGTTCATGTGATATTAGGGATTTGAACCTAGGGTTTTATTTAGTCCAGGCACTTTACCAACTGAGCTGTGTTCTCAGCCTAGGGAACTTTCTCCAGCTTTTACTTGCCTCCCTTTCTGTTGACTGGTTTTCGGGGGTTATGATGGAATATGGATACATTTCCAAATTTCCTTAGAAGCCTGCTGTGAGTCCTCTTGGATTGTGACTTCCTTGAGTGTAGGGCATGTCATTGCATGTCTTTCTTTCCATGCCACATGAATGAATGAATGAATGAATGAATGAGTATATAAATGAATGTAAATAATTATTATGAGGCAAAGAGAAAGTCTGGAAAAAATATTAAAAGTAAATATCTCTTGATGATAAGATTATAGGTGACTTTAGTTTATTCCTTAGGTTTAAAAATATATTTTAAATGTTTTAAATTATTATTTATGTGTATGTGTGTATATATATGTCATATGTTTGGAGGTCCTGCTGAGACCAGAAAAGGGTAATGGATACCCTGTATTGACAGGCAGTTGTGAGCTACCCAACATGGCTGCTGGGAACTGAACTAGGGTCATATATAAAGAACAGAATGTAGTCTTAATCACTGAGACATCTCTCTAGCCTTCATATGAACATTAAAATCCATTGTCCATTTTCTACTTATATAAGTATATAAATATATAAGTACTTATATATACTTATATATTTTCTACTTTTATACTTTTCTTCAAATATATTAATATTTTTCATTATAAGGTATATATTTTAATGTGCAATACAAATGTAGATATTCAGTCACATTGTTACCATATTCAGGTCTATTGATTAATGCGTAAAGCATCTATATGTTATAAATATACTTGTATTTAACTTTATGCCTCTCTTTTTTAGAATCAAAGAGAAATTGAAATCTGAGAATCAGTTATAAATTATTTATTTTCATTCAAAGCAAGATCCGATGCAGAAGCAGCATCACAAGCAGTGCTCCTGATGGCTACCAAATATCTCCAGTCCCTCTTCAGAGTATTTTTTTAACTTTGATCTTGTTGCTAAGCATATCACATAATTATGAAGAGCTAGTTATTGTCAAATGTGATTATTAAAGAGAAATTACATTGGTTTTTCAGGAGCATCTTATTTTTATTTTTTTATTGGGTATTTTACTTGCATCTCAGATGTTATCCCCTTACCCCATTTCCCCCACCCCCATGCCCAGGAATTCCCTATCCTATCCCTCCTCCTCCTGCTTCTATAAGGATGTGCCCCAACCTACCTCCCACTCCCACTTCCCCACCCTCGAATTCCCTCACACACAGTGTCCAGCTTTCTTGGGACCAAGGATCTTCTCTCCCACCTATGCCCAACAGGGCCATCCTCCCTTACATATACAGCTAGAGCCATGGGTCCCTCCCTAAGTGCTCCTAGGCTGGTGGTTTAGACCCTGGGAGCTCTGGTTGGTTGCTATTGTTGCTCTCCTTATGGGGCCACAAACCCTTTCAGCTCCTTCAGTCTTCCCTCTAACTCCTACATTGGGACCCCTTGATCAGTTCAATGGTTAGCTGTGAGCATCTGCCTC